TTCTTCAGCGCGTCTCCTATGGTTGCGTCCACGCTCTCCTTTGTCTGTTTTTTTTATATATGGAAATAATATGACCGTTAATACGACTGGTGCATACCTGACATCGGGTAGTAATGGGGTTTGACCGAGATCGTGTATATAATGATACAGTTAAACAATACTATATATATATATATATGCATATGCATATATATGATGTTAATTAATGTGCATTAGATGTTTACACTTACGGGATGTAAGTCGACCGGAGGAGGACGAGGGCCAGATTGTCCGACGAGGGGACCAAAGCCTGGATCCGACTTGAACACTGTCTGATGTCTCGGCATCGGCGGGTGGGGGATTCCGGCCACCGGCGGCATTCCAAAGTTCTGTATATTGATCCACATCATCAACACAAACATAAATATAAATAAATAAAATGAAGAGGAACTGAGGTTGTCGATGATTACCATGTGTGTGGCCGGGAAGCACGGTGTCCCTGCCGTCTTTCCATTTTGAATCTACGAACGAACCGGAGAAAGATTTTAGCTTCAAAGAAACGGACAGAGTTGGGCAATTTGGTCAACAACGCTAACTGAACCGATTCGAACCAAATATCATAAAAAATCGAATTGTTATGATTTTTCAAAAACTGTATAAACTGAATTGAACCGAACTAAATCAAACCAAATAACAAAAAAAACTGAAAATATAGTTTTTTAAACGATTATGTTTATCAATAAAGACTACACCAAATTGAAATAGAATTCACCTAATAAACCAAACTAAATTGAATATAAAAAAGGAATGATTATAGGTTTTCTAAACTCGAATTAACCGAACCAAACCCGAAATTGAACATGAAATGTATACTATTAGAAATGGATACATAAGTTTATACTAAATATATTACGTACAAATCAATAAAATATTAATTGGTTACGTATTTTAATTTCTAAATTCTCCATTTCCTTTGTTTTCTCGAGTAAGATTGATAGACAGGTTTTTTGTGATAAAGGCATACTTACAGGGTGCCAAAAGGGAGGATCCGAAGGAGGAAGAGAGGGCCAAAAGGGAGGATGAGCCATAGGAATGTGTTTGGGCCAGACCGTGGTCGTCGAGTGGTCCACCGTGGTCGGGTGTCCCCACACGTGCAACGGCCTGAAATGCGGCGGAGGAAACCCCATCGCTCTTCCTCCCAACCCCGCCCCCGCCCCCGCCCACACCGTCCGCTCCGTACATCTGCCGTTTCCTCGTCCAGCTGGCCGCCGCCGCCGCCTCACGCGCCAGCAAATGTTTCCGATGAGACCGGTACTTCTGCATTAAAAAAAGGGTTCCAAATCTTTAGTTAATATAAAATAAATAATGATGGGATGGATGGACGAATTAAAACAGAAAGAGGGAAGGACCTGGAGGTGACTGGCGACGTTGTGACGGGTGAGACAGTCGATGTTCATTAGCTCCAGAATCCGAGAGGGTACGGCTTTGTCCACTCCCAGTTGTTCCACTGCCTGAACGAATCTTCTGTGAAGCTCCGGTGTCCAGTCCACCTATACAATATATTTCATGCCCCCCAATGATTCCATGATTCCATCCTTTTCAAATTACTCTCATATACATACACATGTATATGTATTATCTATATATTATCCAAAAGCTAATCAATTATATGATGTTTATCACACAAATTAAACAAAACAGTGTTGCATCAAACATCATATACAGCAACTCGACCTTGTTTTTATACAAACAACAAATCGTCTACCAGTATGTACGTGTGTGTGTATATATTTAAGCAAATTCATGGTTAAAGAGAAAAGCTTGAGTTGTATATAGGCAAATACCTTGATCTTGCGCTGCTTGCCTTGGCTGTTGTTGGAAGGAGGAGAGGCATGTTTCCTCTTCTTAGCGTCCTCTCTCTTGCTCACAACCTCTTCGCCTAATTTCCCGGCCGAACCACTCTCCTCCTCGTCCCCCTCCTTTCCTTCGGCCGTGGTCACCGTCGAGGAAGCGTTCATCTGATCGACCGTCAAGATCTCGGGGTCGATCTCAAGGTCCGGCAGTGAATCTCCCCCGAAGAGATCGTCGAAGTTGATGCTGTCGAGGAGATTGCCGTGGTCCGAAAACTCCGGGAACTCCTCCGGGTCGATAGTGAATTCACACGTCTCGTTAAGAACTTCCTCAACCCCTCCTCCTCCTCCTCTCTCATCTTTGTTCGTGGGGGTCCTCACCGACGACAAAGCTAACATATCACTCTCCCCTATTCTTTGCTTCTTCCCCGGAGACGGCCGGCCTATATATATATATATGCTAGCTCCTTAATTTATACGTATATACGGTACGATAATATATGTATGCATTCAAGTGTTTATATATCGTAAATATTACTATGTTTGGGGTTGTATCACATGAGGAAGGGAGACATGTCTGATATAAAAGAAAAGGAGTTTAGCAATAAGGATGAAAGCTTCTCCTCTTTTGTTCTTCCGTTTAAAGTGTTTTTGGTTCCCTCTTGCTCTTTGGTCTGTGCTCTCTTAACCAGGCTGTGGAGAGAGAGAGAGAGAGAGAGAGAGAGAGAGAGAGAGAGAGAGAGGTTGAAGAGATGAATAACACTTGCGGTTTTATTAGGGGTTCGGGAGATAATAATAACCGGTCCGAAATCCATAAAAATACACTTCAAATATTTATAATTTAATTATACGTTATAAATTAACAAACTCTTAAGAACATATATACATATATATATATATTTGGCTGCATGATTATCTTTGTTCAGAACCATTTTTTTCTCTCTCTTTTTTTATTGTGTTATTTGCATGGGTTGTAGTTGGAGAGAGTTGTAAAGCAGAAGCTGTGGGGAGAATGGATCAGAACCACAACTTTATGCCCTAAGATCTAAACGGGGCATTTGTCCGTTTGCCTTTTCTTTGGTCTTATTCTGGTTGGTTTGTCATAACATTATTGATCCACGGGAGCAAAAGCATATTATATATATTTATATATACACATGCATATGAAAATTTTTCCATGTATATATAAACAGCAAAAGTAGTATGTATGCATCTTCATGGAAATTGATATCCAGCAAGTGATACATCAAAAGATCGTCATATATAATCCGTTCAATAGATCGAAAGATAAATGAGTTCATCCTCTTGAGAGGTTACACGCAGCAGAAAATAGAAATCTCAATATTCAAGAAGCTCAACGATAAGCCTTGATTTATTATTTTTCTCGTAACTATGAATTCGGTTTATATAAAAAAATTTGACATTCGTTTTAGCTTATAATAAAAGTGTCATGGATAGTGAAATAAATCGGATATATACGTATATATATTATTTTCTTTGATAAAACTAGAAAATGTTTTTAATACACAATCTAACGGTATTATATATAATCGGTGGCCTTATTCAGGATCCATATGAACAGTCTAATAAAGTTATGGTAATAAATGTTAATTTCGTCAGGATTAAAATTCTACGGTAAGCTGTAAGACTTAATAGCAATGAATCTAAATCCGGTATACAACAAACGTAGGTTATTTAGCTTCCATGCATTGATTTTTATTATATATATAATATATATTGGTTGCGCTTTTTTCTAATTATTCATGTAATTTTCTTCCATTTGTGGTCATTCTCACATATACACATATATATATATTAAATAATACAAATATATTATTGGGTTTTTATTTGTAATACGCGTTTGTTAGCTATTAAAAGAACAGAAAGGTGCTAGCTACGAGGAAGGCTATTTAACTTTATTTTTCGAGGCTTTAAATATTTATAAAAATTTTTGAAAAAAAGGGGTCCCGAGCGCTGAAAAATTTAATATCATACAAGTTTTTATTGTATCCTTTTTTTTTCAAATATGTTTATTATCTGTTTCTACAGTGACAAGATAAGGACATCTTCAACCGGTATGCTTTTGTGAAAGTTACTCAAATGTGACCTTCCCGTTTGAATTGTTTTTGGTAAACCCATTTCAATGTATGTATGTATGTATGTATGTATGTATGTATGTATGTTGGGTTGAAAAGGTTATAAAATTTTTTAGGGGAAAAGGTGATTATAACTACATGTCATTTACACTAGGGTGGTAAATGCACAACTTATTCAAAAGAAAAAAATTTCTGAGGATTAATATCAGATAAATTGTATAAAATATGGTCTGAAAATTCAACACACACATACATATTATATATATAAGTCACGAGCATTTGCATGTGAATGCTTCGCATGCATGTTGTCTTTAAATGAAGCCCGGGCCAAAGTACAAATTAAAATACGTTATAGGTTTAATTAAATAACGGAAGCGATTCAAATGAAAAAAAGGTTTTAAAATATAGATAAATCCTTTTCGTTAACCAAAAAAAAAGATAAATCGTTTTCATGATCTATTTACTATTATACCCTTGAAGAACCGGAGCTAAGTCGTTAGTCCATCCTCAAAGACTCAAAGTTGCCCCTAGAAAAAGGACACAATTGTCTTTTACGAAGAAGTTGACATGGACTGTCTGAGAGTGAGATTGGGTCCTCACGGACTACCATAATTGATGTTCCGTATTATAGTGTAATTATGTATTTATGCTTAATTACACTTATACTAAAAGAATATAATTAATATGCTAATAAAAAAATTAAAGGTTTTTTCCAATAAAAATTTATCTCATCGATCGGAACAGAAAAACGAATTTGATAGGACATTAGTTATTTACAAAAGATGGGCGCATGTGACTTGAAAGTAACAATGCATTGCATGGATTGATGGGAATGGTGACAAAACAAGTAAAAGAATATATCTATATATATATATATATAACTTTCACATATATAGTCTCGACTATATGTATATGTCAAATGTTAAGGAGCGGGAGAAGTTGCAACTGAGACGTTGAATGGAGTTAACTTTTATTTTGGGTTTTTGGTTTTAATTTTTGAATTGTGGAGTTTAGTTTTTAGTTTTTGGTTTTTAGATTCTATCATATTTGAAAACTAATGAAAAATAATTTTGGTTTTTCATTGATTTTTTCAGAAAAATGGTTTTCCAAATTTTTAGAAAAAATAATTTTATAAAAACTTGAATGATAGTTTTTTATTTCGTTTTTAGATTTTACAAATCCCAAAAACTCCAACTGTTAAAGGTTTCAGTTAGAAAATGACAAATCTCATCTAAACGAGATTGTGAGTTAGATTCCTTTTGAACCATAGATTTTTCTATGAACTGATCAGCTTCACATCGTTTTATCTGTTCAGCGTGATTTATCGGTTATTAAGTGGAGTTAGAGATTTACTGTCCAAGATATCATCCGGTCCATGGGAGCCTGAAGGATGTAAGATGCGTTACCACCATTATCAAAAAAATGTTAAGGACGTCCAAATATAAATGCATCAGATATTTAATTCTTGTCCTGCGAAGCCGTTGTTGTCTGCATCTCTGATTTCTGTTCTCAACTTCACCTAGGGCTGGGCGTTTCGGTTCGATTCTTCAGAACCGGACCAAACCAAACCGCTAAAACGGTATTTTTTTCGATCCGAAACCGCTGTTATTTTCCGAACGGTACCATTTTTAGAGAACCGAATTTTCTCGGAACCAAACCGAACTGAACCGAACTTTAAAAATCCCGAAAAACCGAATATTTTTAAAAGAAACCTATCATTTTTTTAATAAAATCCGGAACCGAACCGAACCGAACCGAACCGAATATAATAAAAAACCCGATTGGTACCTATTTTTGTAAAACCGAAAGAATCGAACCGATTCATTCCGTCCCAAATCCGAACCGTTTCCCGAAACGCCCACCTCTAACATAACCTATGTTTAACTTAACCTAATTTCGGACAAGAATCACTTTTTTTGTTCTAATAACGGACGTCCAAATATAAATGCATCAAATATTTATCCTATAATGTTTGTTTTTATATAATGTCTTGTATCAAAGTAAAATCATTTAATATATTTTATAACAAATCATCATGTGAATGCAGTGCTTCGTGAAAATATATTGTCTACTCAATGTTCTAGTCTTGTTTAAATTGATAGCTCAATCGGTTACCGATAGTTTTTTTTTCTCTCTATCAAAATCATATATCCGATTCTCGCCTATTTAAAATATTTAAGAATTCAACGCAAAATTTGGAGATTAGACGAGTGTAAGAAACTCAAATTATCTCGTCACAAATTATAAAAAACCATACATTATACATAGTTGTAAAACCCATATTAACTTTCTAAAAGAAAAATAATTGTAAGGTATATGTATTTGTCATATATCATTTTATTTCTATGTTTGATATATACACCGTCTATATATATTCTGTTATGTCCTTTTAGAATTATATTTTGTTTATTTGATTTTTGTTTGTGTGGGTATTGAGAAAATATATTTTGTAATAGACGACCTTGTGGTGAGCATACTTTTGTCTTGCATTCTATAATTGGGACCGCGAAAGCGAGAGTTGGAAATCCATTCAATTAAATACAGAATAAGATATCGTAAGAAAAAATCTAAACTTAGTTTTTTTCAACGCCACTTATTATTATTTGCTTATATGGATAAAAAAAAACATTTATTAATAAGCAGCTCATTAGTGTTACGAATTACTGCTAATTTCTTATGAATGTTGTCATCAAATACAATAATTTTTTTTTATCGGTGAGCGGCTCAGTGTAATTAAATCTTAGTAAAACAATCCAAACATTTGTGTTTACGTTAGTATCATACACATGATATATCGAGTAGAGGATGGCAAACGCTATTGTGCGCCTGGAAAAAAAACGGCACGCTGTTTGCATTTGATGAGGCCCAAAAATATGATACAAAGGATACAGTACTAAGGCCCATAAAACAACAGCGATTCTGAAATCCGAGGGCAGGCCCAATGACTGCGATGGACAACAAAAGCGTTCAAAACTTGTGATTGCGTTTGCGATTGAGCAATTTCCGGAACCTTCTGTGCCTTTTGGTCGATTGGAGTGCACAAAATAATGTATGATTTAATAGAATTTCCATAGTCTAAATAGAAGAAAGGGCGAAAATGTTATTAGCCTTTTAAAACTTTAATTATAATCTAATCACTAATCTCTTTCACAGAGGATGGATTAAAGCAATTGCTTTAGGATCTTTTAGATAAACGTGGATTTATTAAATTCTCAATTTTCATTCTAAATTAGGAAACAATTAAATCTAATAATTTATATTGTTAAAACCGTCTGAAATTTTATTAATCTCTCTTTTAAGATTTTATATCAATATCCTCTAAATTACCATTATTGATTTTTAGTTTAATAAAATAATACACTCGTTTTTATTTTTTTTGATAGAAAATAACTTCACCTAACCGTTTGCAATTATATTATTCAATTCAAATTTTATCAGTCTCTTTCCAAATGTTTTTAAACAACTGAATCTAATCACTTACAATGTCATGACCAGTTGAAATTTTAGTATCTTTTGTTTTAATTTTTTTTATATAAATATCGTCTAAAACTAAAGTGTTTAGAAACTTTTAAATTTTTTTAATAAACTCAACATTTTTTAATAGGAAAATATTTTTTTATTATTGATTGCAAGATTACATCATAATATATAGTAAAATACAATAGAATATATTAGATATATAATATCTAGGATAAATCATAACCATATCCTAGGAACAGTATATTCTTATATGTCTACTCAAGATGAATCATCTATGATGAATTCAATCTTGTTACATAAAAACTGAAAATTAAAATTGTGATCGTATTAAACAAACATTTTTCATGTGATGTTATGGTTCGGACTTGAATCGATATTACATGTTTAATAATATTTTAAGAGATTGAGAGTTATAGATTTACTGACTGATATGACACGAAAATCTGACGCATATGCATGAATTGAAGTGCATGACATTGTGGTCGATGGTGCAAAAGATGCGGTGGTTTAATGTCTATATCGAAAAAATGAAAAAAGTGCAAATACGTGGATCGATGATCAAAATTTTCCAATCTAAAGAGATATAAACCAGTTTCAAAGAATCTCATAACAACTAGGGTTGATATCGAGAAACGAACGTCGTCGAAAAAGAAAAAATAGTAACACGTCGACTAGGGTTAACAATGATAAACACTGAAAAAAAAAGACTAGAAAAAATGGAAAAAAATGCAAGACGATACTCAAGACGATGGTACTATTGGATTTCATCGTCATCTTCGTCATCATTTTCGGATTCAGTCAGCATTATTGATGAAAAAAAATCTATAACAAAAACCGAAATTGTGATACCAGCAAAAAAAATTTTATTATATTGGACTTGTAAGATCTGACTTTTTAGGCTTCATGTTTTTCCCCGGAACAACTCCAAATGTTCCCGTTTTGTCTGTGATGTTCCGTAGTCCATATTTTCCACTCCTTTTGCTCTCTTTTATGCATGAATACCTGTTTGACCAAAGAAAGCAACCAAGCAATATCGAGACCAAATATACTCTAGAATGCCTATAAATATGCAAAACCGAGTAAAATGCACTAGACATCTTATACCAAAATATCACCAAAATACATGTTATCAGTGATACCAGAAATTTTTTTTATATATATTAATGATTTCAAGATTACACCCTAATATATAATAAAATATAATAAAATATTTTAGATATAATATTTAAGATAAATCATAACCTCACATGATAATATTTTAGAAATAATATCTTCCTATATTAAATATAGAAAACAACTAAATATAACCATTTTTAATGTCCATTCGTCAATAACCTCCCTTCCAATTTATTTTTTTATATTAACATCAACTAAAACTATCGTTTTAATAACTCTATGTATAAGGAAAGCTTATCTAAATCAACCAATTTAAATATATTATAAGCATTGACCTTTTATTACTCTGTTTTAAAGATTTTGTGAAGTCAATTGAAATTATCATTTTAAAACCTTTAAACTTAAGAAAAAGTTACTGATTTTTTGTTTCTTATTTTCATGGACGAAACGATTAAATCTAACTATCTACGATGTTATAACTCAACTGAAACTTTATAGATTCTCTTTTTAAGATTTTATATCAACCTTATTGGAACAACTTCGATAAGACTTATTTTCAGTTTTCGAAAAACATAATTAAAACTCTCATTTAATATTTTCTAATAACTTTGAAATTATGTACGTACATACACATACATCCAATTTTGAAATACATGTCTCTATATGCATGCACAGACGCGCACGTAGATGATCATGGCAAAAGCTTCTAATGATGGGAAAGAAGTTTAAGAAAGAGAAAGAGACGAAGAAAAATTATAGGTGAAGACTGAAGATATTAGAATTATTGCTGCCTTTTTTTCACGTTGATTCATTAACCTAACACATATATACTATATGAAATGTCTTTGCATGATGGTATTTTAACTGCGTAAAATGTAAAATATTTTTACTCGTGATTAATCCAGTAAATTCTGATAACGTGCTTCGATATACAAACAGCCGTGTTCTAAAAAAGCTAGATGTGTATTCAATAAGAACCATTACATAATATCTAAGAGATGGTAGAACAATATTTCTCCATGAAAATGAATCCAAGTTACGTATCGTGCAATATATGAATGAGAATGTCGTAGAGATGCATATATGTATAAATTTTATGTAAGTTATATACAAAATAATTTCTTTATATACACTCTAGTTTGACATCGGACCTGAATTTCTCTATCTTAAATTTTATTTTCTACCACCACTTAGCTCTCGCAGACCAGCAGCAGGGTTGCCCCAATTCCACTCCACCCCAAATATAATTAGTCGAGTCCATTAATTACGATTAGTTCTCGACTAAGTACGCAATTAATTGACTAACCCTGTTATTTTTTTTTTATTAAACTGCACACACAAAACACGAACAGACAAAAAGTCAGTTGTAAACAAGTTTAGATTCTCTGTCCGGTCTGTTTCCATCACAAAAGGAACCCTTCTCCGAACCCTTGAGTAAATTCAATCACAAGTTTTTGTTTTTATATTCTCTCTCTCACCCCACGACACATGAAGAAGCAAAAACCAAACTTAAGATCCACGCAATCTCTTTTCTTATTATCCTCTCTTTCATCTCTCATGGTTACATGCTATATTTGTGAAATAAAAGGGACTTAAAAGTTCCCATTATTGGCCTGCCTTCGTTTTTTTTTTCTACACGTCATTCATGTTCATTAAAGCAAAAGGATATTAATTAAAAGTACACTGCAGTATTTTGTCTTGTCTCACTCCCGTTGGTCATTCGTTTCTAGGTATAGAAATATATAAAAAGAAATAAGGATTTAGAAAAAATAGGCATTTCTTCTATATATTTGCATTTTATGGGTATGACCTCTCTCTCTCTCTCTCTCTCGTACCATCTTTATATTTATATGTGTATACATGTTTGTGAACCAAATAGAAATAAAAAAAATCCCAATATAATTAACCTCTTCTCTCTCTCTCTGATCTCTCCCTTTCATTATTACTTACGGATATGCAAAGATACTTGTAAAACAAAAGAGGTTTAAGATTTCCAATGAATTGTCAGTGCTTAGAAATATTCTAATTATTTGTCTTTACGTCCAATTTTTTTTAGGTAAGCCTCTCGCTCTCTCGCAAGGGTAGTACAAAGTTCAAATCATATGCAAAAAAGAGAAACCCAACCAAAAAATAAAATAAAAAGTGATGAACAAGAATTCAATTCCTTCCTCTCCGCCAAGATAAACTGATCAAAAGAGTCCTTAGGCGACATGCTTTAGCCACAGACACATCTTTAACCTTCTTTTCCTCTCTCTGATCTCTCTCTCTCTCTCCGCTTGTTTTGGAGTTGCGAGCAGTGAGACAAAGAGAAGGAAGATAGACCCCGAGGAGAGAGAGAGCGGCATGCATAAGAGGGAGCAAAGAGATCATCATCACAAGGCAAGATGACATGGTGCAACGACTGCAGTGATGTTCAGACCACTGAGAGAAGCACCTGCACTTCTCCGCCCTCGCCTGCAGCTGCTGCGGCCGTGGCTCCTCTTCCGGCTTCTTACCACAAGAACCTCACCGCTAACCATTTCTCTGACAGACACAAAGCTTGTCTGATCAAGACTTGCCCTTCTTGCGGTCACCATTTCAAGTTTCATGAACAGGTTCTATATATTTTGTATCTCCTATATATATATGTATACACATCTTATTTGGGTTTAAGTAAATTCTATTATTTTACTAACCCTACTGCATGTCCTGTTTGAGAACCTCACGCTGACCAATCCACAAGATCAACGGAAAGTACTCGTTTCATATGCATCCTTCAACTTTACGCCTTCGCTATATACTGCATGAACCAAATGAATTGTTTGTACTTAATATACAGAATGACTTGTAGACTAATTTATGCTTGATGATGCGCATTTCCATGCAATCATCGTCACTAAAGAAACTCGTTTGTTTCTAAAAACAAATTATGGGTTTTAATTAATCCAGAACATATGATGTCTCCTGAGTTGAATGCCTATTATTCATGTTTTCTGCATGTCCAATGGAGTTTAAGGGTCTAACGTTTGATTCTTCTCCAGTATCAACATTTGTTATAGCTTGCTGTTTAGATCCGTAGTAATGGAAGGAAACCCTCGAGTTCCACTAGTAATAACAAAAATTCAATGATTAAATAACAATAAATTTTTAGATCTTTCAATGCAAATCTGACGTGGGTTTCTCGATTTGCATAGAAAGTACGAAACTTTTTTGGATGGAATAATATCGAACAATAACTTTTCCCCCCTTGGATACATACACATATACATATATATAGGCCGGGATACATGATTTGCCGGGACTGCCAGCGGGCGTGAAGTTCGATCCGACGGATCAAGAACTATTGGAGCATCTAGAAGGGAAGGTCCGAGGCGACGCAAGAAAGCTCCACCCACTCATTGATGAATTCATCCGTACCATCAATGGCGAAAATGGAATCTGTTATACCCATCCCGAGAAGTTGCCAGGTGACCCGTCTTTGTTTATTCCATTCTCCATTCATTTATATATATACACACACGCACTGCCTGCATATCCTCTATACAACTCGCACACAATTTCCTCTAAAGCATATTTCGAACCAATGAGATCGGGCTTGGGGCTGAGTTGAAAAAGAACACGAACATGTTTCGGTTTACATTAATACATTCTACAACATTAAATTTTTTTTATAGGAGTGTGCGTTAAATGGTGGGTTATTGGAATATTAAGGTGACAATGTAGTATCTATCTGTAGTCCCACAAAAAAAAAAAAAAAGTTAAATGGAATGGATGAAAATGGGCAATACTTCTCCCTTGTTCGAAGAAACCTCTCAACCAATCATATGTAACCCTACAACCAACATTTTCATTATCTTAATATATACACTAAAAAGAATGCGTAAGCAATTAATACACACTCTAATAAAACTTCATTCTATGTATATAATATATATGAGTACATTTAACCAATATATATATATATATATATATATATATATATATATATAATTTGAAGATTTATAGATTATTAGTTAAAATTTAAGGAAAACACAAAAATTAAGATTTAGAGGTAATGAATCGTGAAAAAATCGAGATAAGAAATTCGAAATGACAAAATTTACCAAATCATAGGGTAGAGAACTACAACTAAGGGGAAGTCCAGAAGACATTGTGAGGTAGATGAATCAAATAAAGTTTTCAGAAATGGAGATAAATTTCATAAGAAGTAAATACAATCTTACAACTGTAAGCTCATTTAAAAAATATATATATATATATATATATATATATATATATATATATATATATATATGAGTACACGAGCCAAAAGTAGTCCAAAAGACATATTTTGATCATTTTGGTCCCAAAAAATAGAAAAAAAAAAACCTTTTGTGTGATCATATTTAAACCACCAAGCATGATGCCACACTAGCTGTGGCTAGGTTATTTATATATACTTATAGTATATTAAAAAAAATGAATTATGTTATCCGTTTTCAAATTGCGCGCGCGTATATAGTCTCTCATCATTAAATTTCCCTAAATGCAAATAGATTTTGGCTGTCTGAATAATAATAATTATGATGAACGGTGATTAGAATATGATTAATTATAATATGAACTTGTGTATAATAATTGTAGGGGTGACAATGGACGGCACGGTGCGGCATTTCTTCCACAGGCCGTCGAAGGCGTACACGACGGGAACACGGAAGCGAAGGAAGGTCCACACGGACTCGGACGTGGGAGGCGAGACTCGGTGGCACAAGACCGGAAAGACACGACCCGTCCTTGTCGGCGGCCGAGTCCGAGGCTACAAGAAAATCCTCGTACTCTACACTAACTACGGCAAACAAAAGAAGCCCGAGAAGACCAATTGGGTTATGCATCAGTACCACCTCGGCATCAATGAGGAAGAGAAGGAAGGCGAACTCGTCGTCTCCAAAGTCTTCTTCCAGACTCAGCCCCGCCAGTGCGCCGGATCTCTCGCCGGAGCCACCGCCGCGAAGGACCACCGCCATGGCCGCCACATTCATTACCACCACCACGGCGGAGGCACGGCCGGTGCCGCCTCCGTCGGAGAGTACTACAGCAACATGCCGGCGGTTATCTCCTTCGACAAGACCGGAGTTCAGAGCCATTTGGCCGTTCATGAAGCTCCTTCTTTTATCCCTTGATCACAAGATTTTAAATATTTTTACCTGGAAAATAAATTAAAAATTACATGGATAATACTTTTATTACCACTAAGAGTGTCATATGAGCTATATACAAAGTGCATGCATGCAGAATGCATGTGAGGAAATAAAAAAAAATATATTTAGGGACTGATAGTATATATAATATTACATAAATAGCTTTGTTTCTTTATTTTTTTCTTATTTTTTTTTTGTCCTTTTTTTATATTATATTCTTTGTACAATTGTATGCTCTTGGACTGAAGAGAAACGAAATGTACAAAGATTTCAGTTGTCCTAATAATATTTCTTTACCCGAATATCTTATTTTCAGGAAATTAAAATTGTGAATTTAGGAAATAAAATTGATCTCAGGAAATATAAGGTTACCAAAGAAGGAACTTTTGTGCAATTAAATAAAATTAAGATGGGCTTATTGGGTCTCTGAAATTGGGTCGATACGAGACGGCATATTGGTTCCGTGATGGGCCTTCTCGCTACTGAATCCAAGTGGAAGATGTTTAATCACTCAACAACCACACGCATTTGAGGCGCGTCGATGGCACGCTCCACAGGGGGGGATTAAAGATACGCTCATCTTCTTCCTCACTTTTGTTTACACACTCTCTCTCTCTCTCTATATATATATATATATATATATATATATATATGTACCACACACACACTCTCTCTCTCGAGACAAAACTTAAAATCTTAAATAAATGATTTTTAATACAGATACGCAAAATCGGACAAGTTAATGAGGAATCTTGGCAACCATATTTACAATAACCAACAACAAAGTTTTGAGGACAAATTTAAAAAGAAAAAAAAAACTAAGCAGCACACTAAATTAATTGTCACATATCCTAATTAAACATTATCCCCTGTATAGAATCCCCAAGAACTATACCCTCGACCCCAATAACCACGCGACTAGCATAAACAGGTGTGTGTGTGTGTGTGTGTGTATACATGTACATAACTATATATATGTTCTTTTTCGTGTTTGTTTATTCACCGGAAAGCAACCGTACTGTTGTCAATCTCATATCCCAACCCGTCATTAACCAGTTGAATATCCGACACCAAGCCATCAGACGACGATGATCCCATGCCCATGCCGGAGAACATGTTCTCATTGTCACAGCACTCTGTCGTCGGTGTGACATTTGTAACTCCACTGCCGCATAGCAAGTTTAATAAAGAACCGTGACTTGACGATGAGGGCAAATACCCCATTATCCGGTCCCAACCACATGGGATCTTCATCATTTGTTCATGACGATGATGAGAATGGTCGATGTTGCTTGAACTAGGGGACGATGATGATGATGGTCGATGGTGCCCCATTACCTGCTCCCACCCACATGGGATTTGATCATGAAGATTGTTACTCGATGGTGGGGATGGTCGTGGCAAGTGGGTGGAATTAGGGACATAACTCAGATCAGGAGGAGTGGAACTAATAATGCCAAACCCTGACTCGTCTTCTTGTACTTGAGATTCCTTGCACTTGTCGAAGACTCTGCACAAGGCCCAGTCTTCCTGTCCACATTCAGAAAACGATCGAGACAGAACATTAGTAACTGTTGTGTCCGCATCGATTGTTTCAATATTCTTATCATCCGTTTGTCATGTAATATTCATGATCATCCCGTGTCATGCATATATATATGCCTAACAAAAATTTGTAATTGATAGCAAACTTAACCTTATTATGGGAAAAATTTACTCTTATTATAAAACAATTAATAATTTTATTTAAAATTTTATAAACTTTATAGAGAAACTTTTTTTTAAAAAAATTTAACAAATTGGATCTGCAACCCCATTCATTTCAAAGTGGGTCTGACCCATGCACATGACATAACCACGTACATTATATTTAGCCTCACTCGTTTATGCAAAACTATCAACAGAAGTGAATTATTTCATATCAATTGTAGAAATGAAAGTGATTGATCAACAACGTGTTTATGTACAGTGATGCCGATATAATATATGGATATATATATATATATATATTAATGTAGCAATTATGCGATACGTGTGATGTGAACCGTAGAGGTAACTATTAATTAATTAGAAACTAATACCTTAGGGGGGCACTCAAGACGGAACTCGTGCATGATCCAAGTGGTCTTAATACCGTTGGGAGCTCTGTTCCTGTAGAATACAAGAGTCTTCCTCATCCCTACCGTCCGTCCTGTTCGTGGATCCACAACCATCCGATCTTTTCCCGTCGCTTTCCAATAACCAGAGATCGTGGCTCTGTTCGTGCGATATCCCGTTGCGTATTTCCTATCTCTAAAGCTGAAGAAATACCACTCTCTGGCGTTAAGCTTTGCCACATCTTCATGTAGTTTCCATGCAAGTACACCACAGAAAAAAAAAAGAACATGTATATAAGCAAAAGCCAAAGGAAGGGTTTGTTAGAAAGCAATTTAATTGGAGTAAAAATGTTTTCCATGGATTTAGTTGGATCGAAAGTACAATGAACCAATTTGAATATCGATATATATATATATATATATATATGGTTTTAGAAGCAATTATAATGTTAGTTGCAGATTGATGAGATCCCGATTTTCACTGAATTAGATACACTTTACCAAAGTACCGCGATTATATTACATAACAGATATATATGTCAAGCACAGACCTTCTGGACGAATATATATGAGATATTACATTTAGAAGAGAATATGATTTTCTTTATAAAGGAAAAAAAATGGTAAATAAAAATGAAGAGACTTTGTGATGCGGACCACGAACGACAAGACCTGGGAATTATTCCATTCACTAATTATCTTTCTGACTTTAGCAACGGAAATTAATCATTAATTTTTCAAACATTCCTCCTCTCATTTTCGCATTAATTTCTCCTTAATTTGGATGACAAGGTAATATATATGCGCACACACACGTATATATACGTACGCGCGGGCGCGTGTGTGTGCATGCAATGATTTTTTAGTTTTTTTGGGGTAATAATCGTAATTTATTGGACTTGAATGTAAAAGGTTTCTTGTGCAAGTAAAGTTGCTTGCAAGATGGGGCAAAAAGGGTCTTCGTGTTTACACACAAACCCATCTTCTTCTCTTTTTTTTTTTTAATAAATAAAATTAAAAAATGCAACTAATTAACGAACTATGTTTCTTTCAATCTCTTAACAAACAAAGTCACCCAAAAGTCAAAATTATTCCAAAGAAAAAACGGAAAAAGGGATTGCATGATATTCCCCCATCAATCAATGTCTAGCATGATGATGATGATAAGACCTTTTTAACATGTTCGGTATATATGTACGTATGGTGTGGAATAAGATAAATAAATTTTCCAAAAAAAAAAATGATTTCTTAACGTTATAACTTTGACTGTCACTCATGAATAATTAATTTATTGGATATATAATTTATATACGTTCATGTCATCGGGTATATATGTCTAATTACTTAACTAAGGACTTTGATTTGAAAAATAATTGTTTAGCATTCATGCATATACGACCTTTACATATAGATTATACAGAGAGAGAGAGAGAGAGAGAGAGAGAGAGAGAGAGAGAGAGAGAGAGAGTCCGGAGCCAGCATCGAAAGAAAGTTGAAGGAATATACGCATGCATATTCATAAATACGTTCTGAAATTGAAATTACCTGGAAGCTGCCATGGCTCACAAGTATGCAAGTCAATTTCCACAAGATCAGTATCATCGTCGTCATGACCATCATCACCATCATCACAATGATTAATTTTATTGTGAAGATAATGGCAGACCAGCTCTTCGTCGCTCGGATGGAATCTGAATCCCGGTGGCAGTTTTGCTCCGATATCTTTCAAACCCATGATATTTACAAATCTCTCTTTTCGATTATTTTATTCGCCGAAAAACATATAGAATAATAAATTTTTTGTATCTATGTATGCTTGTAAATTTCTAGGAGAATATCGTAGAGGGCATTAAAATTTCTAGAGAGAGAGACGGCGTTTGTGTGTGTGTGTGTGTATATATGTGTGGGTGGGTGGGTGTAGTTAGGGAAATAAGCGTATATATACATGATTAATATGGTGATATATATATATATATGTATATATAGAATAATGCATGCATGTAGCGCCTTGGAAGATGATAAGTTAGAATTTCTAACAATGTTATATCATTGGGACAATTGGTGGGGTCGGGGCCATGCTTGTGTAATATAAATAGTTTATGTAAAGTGGGAAGTTTCGAGAAAAACCAAAGCTGCAAGATATGTCTCATGGGACAATATATATATTATATTCTTTTTTTTTCTACTCCATTTTAATCAAGTTATTTGTTTTTCTTTATTAAATAAATCGTCCCATCAGCTAAATTTACATAAAATTATGTTTAACCTAAGTACAAAACATTTAATTGAATATTCAACCCTTTTATTTCATAGTTTCAATACATTGTTTAAAAATTCATTTCTCAAGCAACCTACTCTAACACACAAAAAGGATACATCGGTACCAACCCCTTATGTATATATAATTGAAATGCATGGTTAGTTAATTTGTTAATTATTTTGTAATTTTAATGTGTTTCTAAGACCACAAAAGCTAATATTATAACTAATCAAGTCAGTTTTGAATTTATTAAAAAAAAGTTATTTTATTTTATCTTTAAATTGAATCAGAAATCTAACTAAAATATCATGGTTTTGATTTTTTATTCCAAATTAAAATTAATAAATTCACATCCAAATCATCCATGTGTGTATATCATATACTATATCAGAAAGAAAGTTTTTTTATAATTGATTTTACTGTAGTGCATCTATATTTGAGGATTTATATATTTGTTAGATACTATTAAAGGTTATATAACGTATAGGTTTAGTAATAATTTCAGTATAAAATGAAATTGCCGATATAATAACTTCTAAGATGATTTAAGTCCGGAATATTGGTCAGAGATGCTTCTTACTCTTTCCTAGAAATTAAGTGCAATTTAACATTAAAATAAAAAGAAAGGCAATATACATCGATCCATTATTCAATATATTATTATATTTGATTGCTTTGGTTGGTTTACATCATAACATAAATTAACAAAAACAAATGGACCTTATATGACAATAACTATGGTTGATATTATTATATTTGATTTCAGTTTTTACTATTTAAATTTAAATAAATACACTGATTAGTACTATTACAAAAACACGAAACTTTTTTTTTTATAATCCGGAAGTTCACCGGACCTTTGGCCCGACTACATCTCCCAGAGGACCGGGGAAGTCCAGGTGAATACCCCTCCCCATGCTTGGATTTGAACCCAAGGTGAGAGCATGTTTTGCATGTTATCTGACCACTACGTCACCCAAACTTGGGTAAAAACACGCAACTTTTAAAACTCATACGAAAAATATATCAATTTATCGAATAATTTCAATTTCTTGTACACAAATATTAATTCAATAAGTCATATTAGAGTGTATATATATATATATGTATATTTTTATAATATTTTAATAAAACAATACATTTATATGAATTTTCCCTATTTTTTCTATTCAACTTCAGTTACCAACTTTAACAGTTTTTTCTTGTAATTTTTTTTTTATTAAATTTCAAAAGTCTGACTGTTGTCGTCGACTCGTCGCATTCCCGTTGAACTTTCCTCGTATATAAAAAAATATAATAAACCAATGCATTGCATCTCTATGCAAGCAGTTATAACAATGGCTAAAAACTTCCTATCTTCATGACGTCAAGTTAAAGTTAAATCGCCAAATTTGTAAAAAATGAGGGAAAAAAAACAATTTTTTTTTTACGAAATTTACTAAAAACGTAGAACATAAATATAAACCATATATCCATCTCATGAAAACAACGATACGAAGAAAAGGGTCCATCAATGATGGAAGGACGTGAATGAAACCGAAGATACAGTGAAAATTTTGTTGATGTTTCTGATATTTTTGAAATTTTTTTCAGAGACTTCCATAATAATTGACATCCGGACAACATGTTTCCCATGTGAGGTTATAATTATTATTATTATTCTTATTATTCCAAGATATAGAAACACTATGCGTGTGTTAGCATACACTACACACATATGACGTGTATATACACACACACACAAAGACGCCACGGCAAATTAAACTCCGCTCGAGGATGTGACATTCGGAATCAAATCATTGCTAAATTAATTGTTATACATATATATATTATATTATAAACCTAAAATGTTCATATGATACCGCCACAACTACATTTATCAAGCCAAATACAAAAGCAATAGGTTCATTGCGTTTGGATATCAATAATTATATTCTTTAATCGATTCATCTCATGTGGTATGAATTTTTTTTCCCGGTTTTTAATTGAAATGAATTTTAGCAGTGAGGGTTTCTTTTTGCGGCGGAACACATCCAGAAATGAATTTATTTTATTCATAAAATAAAATTTATTGGAAATAGCAAAGCCTAGCTAGGCTTGAGGCTTAGCATAGCGATATATATATATTGATCTTTTTTCGTATATGTATATGTATATGTATATGTATATGTATATGTATATGTATATGTATACATGTGATTGGGAAACAAAATGATGAGTTGGATCTGTAATAATGAATCTTGATGATCCTACATCACTGTCTTACAGTTATATCTCATTCTGACATTTAAAATAGTGATTGTTAATAATTAGACAATTATTGAAATGTTGTTTCATGACATTACCAAACTTATTCGATATCTGTCTAAAAGGGACAATATATATAGGTGCTTAAAGGATAGGAATTGCTGTGAATTTCAATTTCAATTTCTTTTATGGGTTATAAATTAATTATATTTTCTTTTCATTTGATAGTCGTAAAATTTTTAATACCTTCGCCGATGGATGAGGATAGAAACCGGATTTATCTGCTGGTATATGAATTCCTTAATAAAGCAATCAAGATCCGCGAATATTTTCCAGCATCAAATCAAAATCCAATTACCTAACATCATTCGTTGTTTTAATAAACCATTGCTGGCAAAAGAAAGGACAAATCTCTGAAATAATTAAAATAAAATAATTAAATATGCATATATAGTGTGCGTGTGCATATATATATATATATATTGTTTTACTATAGTATACGAGAGTGGAACTTTCTTTTTTGAGTTATAGTTATTTTTTCATCTTGATTCAATCCTGATTTTTCTTCATTGTTTCAGAAAAATCATAGGTTATGTTCATTTCTTTTTTCCTTTTCTTCTTCTTTACATTTTGTTTGGTTTCTAATTCACTTTCTCTTTTTCCTAGTTTGTTTTTTTTTTTCATTTAATTGTTGATTTATAAATTTTTACTAATTTTATCTGATAATTAATTCATTCAATTTTTGAATCGATATCCTTCCAATTGTCCCCTTTGAGTGACCATATTAAAAAATCTTATATATAATTTTATAACCATTAATATTTCTTTTTATAATTTTTAATCTAATTAACATATAATCATAAATCATTTTATTATAAATTTCAAAATATTTTTAAATATTTAATAATTTTCTAAAAATACTAATTAATAGATAAATTTTAAATTATATGAGAAATTGTAAAATGAAAGTAAATAAAAAAGTTATATTATTTATCATAATAAAATTAAAAAAAAATGAAAATACATCCATCATTACACTAACTAAAATTATTCCTAAAATACTTTCTAATATTTTTAGAAAAAAAAAGGTCCAGGTTCAACAAAATATTTATTTGACTGCAGCATCTACAAGTGAAGATGAGTTATATAATTTGGAAAAAAGTTCAAGACCACACTCGCGTGACACGTGTTCCCAGGGCGTTACGTAAATAAGTTGGCGTGTTTCACGTAGAATGACGCGAAAACAATTGACCAATTTTATGACGAGAGTATATATATCGCGTTCACTATAAAGTTTTTTATGGATATTTTCACATATTTCTTTTTAAGTATAATTTGATGGTGCAAATCAATAATACAATATCATAATATTAATCAGGGTTATATATATATATATATATAATATTGAAAATTTCGATATCAAGATAAATACCAATGATATCAATGTACTTTTTTTTTATAATCAGGATGGTTCCCGGGCCTTCGAACCGACTACATTCACCCTAGGTCCGAGACCAGCCTTTGTATATGGACCATTTTGATCTAGAAATTACATCCCTCCCCACCAGTGGAATCGAACCCATGATCTCGAGGATGATTTTGTCATCTCTCAACCACTGGACCACCAACTGTTAGGTTGTATTCTTCGAAGATATCAATGTACTCTTCGAAGAGTGAACACTTGTAATGAAAGAGGCCAGACTGAAATTCGGCAAGAATCATGCAACCCTTAGAATAATATGATTTTCATAATTAAGATTTTTTTTTTCGATATTGTGAAGCACTTCGAGATGAAAATAAAATGATGACGTGAAGTCTTTGAAATTAAAAGCCATCGTGATATTTTCGTACAGTGCATGTGTAAACAAATACAATGACGAAGACGAAAAATGTTGAGGATAGGCCAACAGGCCCGAGCTGATGAAGACGAAATGCTGACGCTGGACTATGACAGGGCACCACGTGTCGCTCTCCCTTGATCCACGCCTCTATTTTTTCTTCTTTTAAAATTTCTCTTTTATTCTTGATCGAATTTCAATTTGACGTATTAACCATCATTACATATCTATTATCTTTGAAATGATAGAATTGATATATATATATATATATATAAATCGAGCCGTTGTTATTTCTTTAAATGAAGCAATACATGTGCGTGTGTGTATCTGCATGTATTGATGTGTATATATATGTATATATATATATATATATTGTTAGTGCTTTCATATTTGTTTATTACAGAACTAAATTCCGGAAAACATAATTCATATACAAATGCGCGCCACCATTTCGACCGGATAGGTATAGAAATTGAATTAATTATTCGATATATATAATTTATTAGGTATAGAACAATATATAACTATAGATTTAATAATAAAACTAATTCGAACACCACGAAAGAGGAAATGTCACTCTTTCAACGGAGATAGAATTGATGATTCACGAGACAACCACATGATATTTAATTAAGACTTTATGTCAATTTCTTTGGATAATTTTTTTTTTAAAAATAAAAATAGTAGACGAAATAAATGTATATGTAACACGCAACAAAAGATTCGGATTGATGACTTAGAGACGTGGGAAATTGTTATCTACAAGTAATAAGAATCTCTCTCATACATAGCCTCGATTGTGATCGGCGATTTCTTATAACGCATAGACCCCTATCATCAATTATTATTCTAATAATTATTTATCACTGGCTAGTTTTCTTCATATATATATATATATATATATAGATAGTACTGATATAATATAATTAATTAAGAAAATAAATTGTAAATTTATATATAGACGGGAATAATTTTAGTGCAGTTAGGGAAGAGGAGTGTAAAACCGGTATGATTTCATCACAACGATATAAAATTAATATTATTGTACTTATCCGTTGAAGAAAGGAAAAAAAATAGTTTTTTGAGTTTCTATATACATGCATGTATATACACATGTGTACATTATGTATAAGCAAACATCTAAAACAAAATTTACATTCGGTAACCATAGATAGATCTTAGGACGTTCCTCCTCAATGTATGAATATATATGCATTTATAAAAAAACAATATGGTATATATATATATATATATATATATATATATATATATATATATATATATTCGTATACTTAGGACGTCGTATACGTGAAGGGTTAGCAGCTGAAAAAAATACAAGTCGAAGTATCCATGCAAATGGGATAACAATGATATGTTTATCGATTTTTTGATAAAAATACATACAATATTTTAATAGGACGCGAAATGTTGAGTCGATATCCTCTGGAGTTTGGTGTAGATCGCATGTTCCACAATTTTATATCATGGTCAGAATAAAGTGAGACATCGTATTTTTATAAAATCAACAAATTGGATCTTTCTTTTCCCTCTCCACAAAAAGCAGCTTTTTTGAATATTATTACCCTTTTCTAAAAAAGATATACATATGATATAAAAAAAACCCACAAAGATAAGATAAAAAACGAAAAGGTTTGGTTCATTATTTCATTTTTTTATTAAACAATAAAAAGTACAAAACATAAAAGTTGGGTAACGGTAGTTAACTAATAATAACGGAAAATTCGAATAATTTTGTCTGAAAATTTCATCTCTATTCTCTACCAACAATATTACCAGTATCGATAATCTCCAGTTTGTACATGCATGATGCATGTACATTTATATATATATACACACACACACAACAGTACTTGATCAGACAATAGGAGGCTGAAGAATTGCGTGCCGGATAAAGTTTCGAGCTTATGATTTTTGATGGTCCATTTACATATATGCATATGTGAGTCATACATACATACAAACAAATGTATATGTATTGGTGTGTTTGTGTAATAATGGCTACATGCGCATGAACGGCATGATAACATATACATGATTCGTACAGCATATATTGGCCTATGATGTATAAGGGGCATTACTAACAGTTGAAAAATCTATAAACAATACGCCAAGTAACGAGAAAAGAAGAAAAAGATAAGAAAAAGGAAAAGGAAACATCAAATCCAAAGTTTGTCTTTTTGAAAGACGCTCGACCCTCATTGGGGTCCCCCGAAGATTCTTTGTTGTTTTTGTTTTTGTATTTCATTAATTAAAAAGCCGTTTTTTTACATTGAACATTACCTGGTTACTTTTTTTTATTTTTTAAATTCGGGTGTTTTCAATGAAGATCTTTTCATGTGTTTTTGAGATTAAAAAATCGTTTGAGCATGTCGGTATAAAATATGGTATGATCTGCGACCCAAATGCTTAATGTAATAAACTGAAATAAATGATATATCATCCTCTCCAATCAGTTACTAATCCGGGAGTGTTTTCACTCACTAGACCAACCATGAAATTCCCTTACATAGCTTATACAAATCTGAACTATATATTAAACCTCAAGAACATGAAAGAGATATCGGCATCTACATTGATTGCTTTCACTCAGTTCCCCAATACGAGGTTGTTCTTAAGAGAGTTTCAGAAATAAATAACCAAACTGACATGGATGGATGTATCTATCCATCATTTCTTGAAGATTGCCCATCGGAACACAAAACACACACACTCTCTGTTGCAACTAGGTGGCTTCTCTTTCGGGCCTGTTAGTCCCTCGAAACACGAACCACCAACCCAGAAGTTGTCTGAATGGTTTTCAGGTGGCCGGAGCCGATGAGATCACGCAAGTGAAATCTCATGTCCAGAGGAGACCACCGAAGCTGCTTCTTCTCAAGCTCGGACAAGAACATTTCTTTGTGTTTCTTGCGTTTTAGTATCGAAAGGAGTTCTTTCCTACCCTGCTCAGAAGAATTTAACCCCCCCAAAAAAAATATCGCCCAGAATAAAAGCCGGGATGAGAACTCCTGATAGAACAAAACGAAATCAAAACGCTTTAATGCTTAGTTATGCTGTTGCATACCTGAGACAGACCCTTCAGCAGTCGACCGATACTAGGAATGGCAAACCAATACATATCTGGATCAATAAGTTGGCGTGTCTGAGTACAAAGTGATGTTTTAGAATTAGAAAAGAGGCAACAGACAAGGGGGGATTACTAGAAAGACCGGGAGCAGATTTATAGGGCATTCTCTCTTGACTTACAAGAAGGCCGGCATTAATTAAAAGAGTGATGTGCTCTTCCTTCACCCTCCCGCCCAACGACAACAGTGAGAACTGCGGTGATTTGCAGTGAGCTTGTGAGATATATAGGCAATGACATCCAACCATTGAAACGGACACTGAAACAGAAATAAGACATGTGTCGTGCAGTGCGATAAATTCACTTACGAGCTCATGATGCCCAATGCTAGGTTCCAGTTTCGAATCAAGAACGTGCATTTTAAACCACTCGAAAACTTCAATACCATTTTGCTTCTTCTCTTCCATTCTCTTCACAATATGATCAACCTAACATAGATTTTGGACCGGATGAAAAATGGTCAGAAGGATGATTGTCCCTCTCGATAAGGGAAAATCAAGCTGTCTACAAAAATCAATCTAGATCGCCTACAGTTGGCGGGAACAAAATTTTCAAATGTAAAATACAACCACGACACACGAGCCTTTGAAATGCAGCAAAGGACCAACCTGGTTAAGATAGTCATCCAAGAACATTATTGCATGATCATCTTGTCCAGTGTTCAGTTTGAAAATACGTACAACTTTCTCCCTCCGCAAAGACTGCACCAGATCGAAACTGATTAATGTAAAGAACTCTACAAAAGCACAATGCACAAGACTAGAGATGGCAAATCACAATTCACAAGTAACCTAAAAAGCTGACTGTCAAAGATTGCGAAACATGAGCTCGGACACCAACAGCTATAGCACTGATATATATACTTCACCTTACTTGGGCATTCTTGTAACCAGAAGAAATCATAATACGACATATACAGGAAATTACAAGAGAGACACCAATTCTAAACTCGAAAAGTCAAGGCCTTTCAGTCATACGGTTCCAATTCTCAAAAAAAAAAAAACAATCATCTAATAATGAAAATGCAGAAACAGAAACCCATTTTACAATACTTCCTTGCAGAGGAGAAGAACAAAGTATCTCAAACAGAACTTGATTGACAAGAAAGCGTACCTCTAATTCTCTGTCGACTTGGGTTCTATCGTTGACGCTACTATATAACTGCGATTGTAATATGAATGGTTGGATTGAAGCCTGACACAGAGACAAGATACAGACAACGATCAGAGGAAACAAGCACGCAGACAACCGACAGAAAACTATAAAAGCACTTCAATAAGCGCTCCCAAACAACATGGAAATGGATAATTCGAAAAAGAACAAAACAGGAAAACCATCGAGCTATAAAATGTCTTCACTGAAATCCGCGAAGACCCAGTAATCAAATCCTCCAAGTTTAAAAAGAAATAACCCAAAATTGCACAATTCCAGATTCAAGGATATCCGATTTCAAGTGAAACCCATCGAATGAAGCGCAGTCCACGGGGGAAAACAAAAGTCAGTTGACCGAACCTGATTCATCCGAGGGAACTGAGCTCGCATCATCCGCAAAGCCACCGAAGTGTCGCTAAAAGTGAGATTATTCTCTGCAGAAAAATTACAGATTTACAGGAAACATAACGATTAGCGACAGCGTCCGAAGAGAAAGGGAGAGAAGTGGAGAACAAGAGGCGAAACAACTCACCGAGAGGGAGACACTGATCTTCAGTTTCCGCATGACTAGAATTCCCCGTTTCTCCTTCGTCATCTCGCCGGCGCTTTTTCCGGGAGGAGGATCCTACATCCGGGTTCTTCATCCTGTTCCTCGTAGATTCAGAAATTTAAAAGAAAAAATAGTAATGATGTGAAGTGGAGGGGCAAAGTTAATAAGGGCCTTTGCGACCAACAGACCAGACCGGAGGCCCGTTTCATGTGTGTAGAAATATGGGCTGACAATAATGGAGCGAAATCACTGCTCTTTAGCTAATCAAAGTTTGCATCGGAAAATATACAAATTTCATGTCAAGAACCAATCAATAAAACTGGTACGGTTGATTAAATTGCTCGTAATAATTAATCACTGTCGAAGAACAGAACCAGATATGATTCGGAAGCTAAACAATACATCAAAGACGTGTGCTTTCACTTCACAGCCTTGGCATCGACAAGCTAAAACCAAAACGGTCGCTGCTTTCAGTACTTGGGAGCTGGTTTCTGGATCGGCAACAGACCAAAGCGCTTCTTCAGCAACACTCTCTGCCTCGAGTATTTGTCGTCCGGCGAGAATCGGGCTGCGGCCACAGAGAACGAGAGTAGGAATAAGATAGAGTAAAGCATGACTATTCATAGGTGCGGGAAGGCTAAAGAGGCTCACCTGGATGAGCAGACTGGGTGGCGAGCCCCAGAGGAGATTCCTTCTGCACGATGAAAATGATTGACGTTTTCAGTGTAAAGCAGTGAAAGGAAATTGTAGACGCTAAGAACACCACAAGAATCAGCACAGAAGCAAAACAGAGCAAATACATTCTGCATGATGAACCCCAAGTATGTCTACTTCCGCAGAACAACTGCGGTACAAGATGATAGCTAGAATCCATTTCCTCCTCGACTAGAACGGTGGAACTAGAACCTCCATTACTCTAATAGATTCCTTAGAGAAAACTACCAAAAAATGCGATGATATGTAATATGCAAAAAACAGGTGTTTCAGAGTCAAAACGAACCCGAACGTTACCCGACAAGACGATTCACAAAATTTCACTTTTACCACGTATAGTGTTCCCTGAATTGTGCATCTTTGACAAGAAACAGATAGGACGGTGCATTTCTAATTGGGTCGTCTTATCAAGACCCTGAGAAGATTGGGCAATTTACCTTCCGCAAAATATTGTTTTTCTCGTGTAAATAGTACTGATTTTGGGGAAGTCAAACTATGAATTTATCATCTCTAGTTATATATAGCAATTCAGGAAAAAAGATCACATGGACTTTGTTGCCGTGTCTGTAACTTCAAACGAGGCAGAGATTCGAGTAAAGCATAAACGAGAAACAACTCATACTAGAGAGGCGTGGGCGACAAAGAGAGAGAACAGCAGCAAGTACCTTGGTGGTGTACACTTTGTCACCCTTTTCGTTGATGTAAAACTGAAGATACATCGTGAATGTAAACGGATTATACCTGCGGAAGTGAAAACATTAGAATCGACAAGAACCCGATGCCTTGTCAGGGAAAAAAAACATTGAGCTGGAAAATCCATTGAAGACGATAGAACGCAATGTTTAACAGATGATCTCAAAACAAAAGAAAAAAAGTGAAACGGAAACGGATTAGAATTCCGATACCAAAAATCATACCTAAGAGATCTTCAGCTCCTGATTAGGGTTTTCCTGGAACAGAATTTGGGGGCGGCAAACATCAGCGTATTTAAAGGCCATAAAATTGGGCTGAAACAAACCACAAAAAAGCCCAAATAGGCCCATCATGAAGCCCAAAACCGAGGGGGTAATTTAGTCATTGTAGTGTACTTTCTCCGTCTCTCACCGTCACCGGCTCACCGGTCGCCACCGCCCTTTCGATTGGCGCTTCATCTTCTCTTCGCGCTTTACCTCAGCTTAGGTGGCAGAAATCGCAGCAATCTGAAGGAAAGCCAAAGACTTTGGCTAGAAGAATCTTCCTCCGACCAAGTCGAATTCGAACAGAACATCATCAGGAAGGGCCTTTGACAGATATCTATACACGAAAGCGTACCGATTATATGTGGGAATGATACTGTCCTGTTGCCATTTAATCTTCTCATTGTCTACGGATGGATGCAATGCAATTCCAAGACTTTGTTGCTCTTCTTTGGGAATTAAACATAATACGAATCGAAGCTTTCTTTGAAAAAAAATTACACTTCATACGGACACATGAAACCTACAACAACTACAAGGGTGAGAAAGCGACTCAACTCAGTCTTTGTACTCAGGTTTGAGGACCCAAAACGAACCGTTTCGGTCCCTCTGGAGCGTAGCTATTTCCTTCAAGAGGTTCTTGAACAGTGGCATGTCCGTTGGTGGCACTCTGTCCTTGAAACGCTCAACAATGCTCGCTGAGTCCGTCCTTCCCCCTCTTTCCTGCAAAAAGCTGCATATCTGCCGTATCAGAACCTCTGGCTGCAACCCCGACGGCTCACGGGACGACCTGAGTGATGACCGTGGCTCAAGCCCCGCACCAATGGCTTGTTCCCGGCTTCCCCGGATCCTGGCCAGCAGTTCTGCAGAAGACGGAGCTTTCCCCGAAGGCAGGCCTGCACCGATTCCGTTCTTGCCGGCCGATGGTGCGTCATCGGCAGTAGCAGAATGGGCCACCCGTCCGAATCTCGTCCGGACAGACGAAGGGGCACCCGCACAACCAGATCTTCCCGTCCATGTCGGCACAGAGATGCTTTCCCGACTACGGAGCATCCGTGACTGACGCAGTGCCTCTGCCGCTCTCTGTGCGACCTCCGATGCTTTCTGTTCCATCCTCATCTTCTCTTCGTCGTCTGCATTCACGATTGCGTCATGATTCACCACACTCTGCACAAGAAAATGACCGTTACCTCTAAGAATTTACAGTTGTATCTCTTCGAAAAAAGGCAAGAAGGTACACGAGCTTCACTTACATGTATTCCATGAGTATCGAATAGACTCTTTAAGATATTTGTCTCCTCGTCATCCGTGGCTTTGTCACCTTTATCTCTAGTTTCCATCTCTTTATTGCCTGAGGATCCTTCTTCGGGGGAATTTTCCTCCGCCTTGCTTTGCTTATCTGTTTGAGCTCCTACGATATTTATCTCTCCAGAGAGCTGGCCGAAAATGTTAGAGGTTTCAGTTGAGCCGCCATTGCTGTCACCATCGTCATTCAAGGAAAAGAGATCTTTCATGTCCCGGGCTTTAAAGAATCTTCTCTGTTGCGGATTCTTCAGGATCTTATTGGTGAGGAAGTGCTTGTAAATCTGTCGATGGTATACCTTCTCCTCTATCGTCCCTCGTGTGATCAATCTGTAAACAGTAACATCCTTCTTCTGGCCTATACGCCATGCACGTTCCCTAGCCTGTCCTCACACAACACAAGCAGATAACCGATTAGCTTTTTAGCTTCATATTCAAAGAAACTCCATTTCTGATATTCAAATCCATGCCAAAACTACCTGCATATCATTGGAAGGGTTCCAATCCGGATCGAAGATGATGACCCGGTTCGCACCAGTCAGGTTCGTCCCCAGCCCTCCCACCTTTGTAGTCAGAATGAAGACGAACACATCATCGGAGTTATTGAACTCATCGATCATTGCCATCCTCTGTTTAACTGGTGTAAGCCCGTCCATCCTCCTATAACTGTATCCACTTCCAGCCAAAATGCTCTCGAGAATGTCGAGCATCTGCTGCGTCTGTGAAAACAATAGCACGCGATGACCCTGCTCTCTCCACACCTTAAGCACTTCTGCAACAACTTTCATCTTCCCGCTTCGTTCCGGGTTTCCGTAATCCGGGTTCTGATGAGAATGCTCTCTTTCGAGTAGATCCGGGTGATTGCATATTTTACGCATCACATCGATCCCGTACAGAGAATTCTTATTGCCATCCAGAATCTGTTCCACCTCGGTGCTCGCGAGGAACGCTCTGTAGACAGATCGCTGCTCCGCGGTGAGGCTGCAGAAGAGGACATGTTCAGTCTTCTTTGGAAGGTGAGCATTCACATCAGCCTTCATGCGTCGGAGTAAGTAGGGCATGATCAAATCACGAAGAACAACAGCACATCTGCACATTGTCAAGAATCGTTAGAACATAGAAATGTTAAAACGGCTAACTAGTAGTGACTCAAAGATGGATCAGGTCTTCACCGATAGGCCGTCGATACTTGCAAAGGAGAAGCATTTGCGTAACCGCCAACGGTTATGGGTACCGCAAACTCTGCCTCGAATACAGGCAAAACCCCGAGCTTCCCTGGGAAAACAAAATCAAATAACGACCAGAGTTCCGTCAGCTTATTCTGAATCGGTGCACCAGTCATGATTATCCGGTGGACGGTCTGTAGTTGTTTGCACACCAGAGTGATCTCGGCATTCGGATTCCTGATACGG